AACATTCTCACCCTGTACAAGAAGAGGACATAAACATTGTGTGAGTTCTATACCCCAGTCCGAGGGTAGCTTGTTTATAATGAAAGGAGAGGGAAGAGGCTGGATAGAAGCTGCAGCTGCTGCCTTTCCCTATGCTCTTTGCTGTTTTCTGCTGCCATGGACTGCTGCTCTCTGCCATGTGTCACTCTACCTGGAAGCCAGCTGAATATAGACTAAACCTTCCACAAACTGTGAGCTAAATAAACATTTCCTTCCTTAATTTTGGGTGTCAAATATTTTGTCCCAGCAGTAAGTAAAAAATAGCTGAGACACCACCAAGGCCAGCTTTGTGTCAAATAAAATTCGTAGAAAGAGAAGGTTGAGTCAGATGTAGCTGAAAAGCAGTGCCCATGTAACCAGGTGTAGTGGTCCATGCCTATAATACAAATACTCAAAAGCTGAGGCAGGAAGATCATACACAGAAGTCCAGCCTGGAGAACTTCAGATTTCTCAAGACTGTATCTCAAAAGTAAAATCAGGCCTGGAAATGTAGTACAAGGCAAAGGCCAAATTCCTTTCCATTGTTTCAATCCTCAGTACCACCCAATGAAAGAGCAGAAGCAAAAGGAGGAGGAGGAAGAGTAGGAGGAGGAGGAGGAGGAGGAGGAGGAGGAAGGGGGTCGGAGGAGGAAGGGGAAGAAATGTCTGGGCCTACTTGCCATAGGCTTTCTGTATTTTCTTCAAGGAGTTCCTTTCAAGGGTAACAATGTCAATAAAACTCTGACCTAGTAACTTTTTGTTTCAAGTTAATTTTAGCTGGGAACATGGGTAAGTATTTTAACAGTAAATATTAAACATTGACAACCCCAAGGATGGCAAAGAAGCCACAGGTAAACTTGTTGATCAGACTCCTCTTGGTTGTTCTTGAGAACCATGAGTCCGTGACTGTGTCCGCCTGACAGTTCCTGAGCTGTAGGAAAGGAGTAGCACTGAAGGATGCAGATAGTTCTCAGATATTAGCCCAAAGCACTAAGAAGTAAGGGAATGTGGTAGCACAACCGTGGGAGGACTCACGGGAGTAGAGGGCTCTGAGTAATGGGAGGCAGCTCCAAGGGTGCTGGGAGATTGATCATCAGATGTTTCTGTTGTGGGTTCAGTGCTGAGTTCATAATCCTATTGCTTATTCAAAAATGCAGTGGCATAAAAAGATGCACCAGGAGCAGGTTTTTGTGCTAATATTTGAGCTGGAAAATTTCTGAATCATGAATCTTGATAGTAACCACATAACATTTAAATCAGTCTTGATTCCTCTCTGCTTTTATTTTTTTTTTCTCATAGACTTCCCCATGTCAATAGATGATATTACTCCACCCAGTTGTGAAAAATGGAGATACCCTTAGCTGTTGTCCTTCCCTTATTGCCCTCAACACATTTAGTCCACTGAAGCTTCAAAATATATTTCAACACAATCTCTTCACTCATATCTAATGATGCCATGCAAATCCACATCACCGTAACTTCTTGCCTAGGTGATTGCAGTAATCTTCTAATTGGTTCCCTTGCTTCTACTTTTGTGCCAGTCCTACCTGGTTATCTCTTCCTAGTGTACTCACTATTTCTGACTTTTTAACAGACTGTTTTTTAGAGCAGTTTTAGTTTTGTCATAAAAGTGTATTTAGTTTTATAAGAAATTGGCCATATGTCTTTCAGAGTGGCAATACCACTTTGCATTCCCAGCCACAGTGAGCAAGTTTCCCTGTCTCCACATTCTTGCCAACAGCTGATAGAGTCAGTGTTTTGGACTTGGGCCATTCTAATAGGTGTGTCACAGCATCTTGTGTTGACCTGCGTTTCCTAGTGACATGTAAGCTAAGCATCTCTGCATGCTTATAGGCTAGCTGTATATCTTCTTTAGCAAGGTATCTACCTGTTTAGATCATCTGTCCATATTTTAATTGGATTATAAGCTTTCGATTTGCAAGTTTTAAGAGTATTTTTAGATGAAAATCTTT